TGGGCCTGGGCCTAACCCTTACCCTGAAGAGACCAGGGCCCGAAGAAGAAAAGGTTTGGGACTGGGACAAACCTATACCCTGTAGAGGCCTGGGCCAAATGAAGAAAGGTGTGGGCCTGGGCCTGAACCTGACCCTGAATAGGCCTGGGTCCAATGAACAAATAGTGTGGGCCTGGGCCAAACCCTTAACCTGAAGAGGCCTGGGCCCAATGAAGAAAAGATGTTGGCTTGGGCCAAAACCTTACCCTGAAGAGACCTAGACCCAATGAAGAAAAGATGTCAGCCTGGGCCTGACCCTTACCCTGAAGAGGCCTGGACACAAAGTGATTGTCTTTTTTCTTTTTATTTTCTTCATATTCTCCTTCTCCTTCTCTTCTCCCTCCCAATCCCCTCTACCACCACCTCATCCTCCTTCTCTTCCTCCTCCTGCTCCTTCTCCTCCTCCTCCTCTTCTTCTTCTTACCTCCTTCTCTTCTTCTTTTCTTTTCTTCTTCTTCCTCTTCCCTTTCTTCTTCTTCCTTCTTCCTCTTCCTCCTCCTCCTCCTCCTCCTCCTCCTCCTCCTCCTCCTCTTCCTCTTCCTCTTCCTCTTCCTCTTCCTCTTCCTCTTCCTCTTCCTCTTCCTCTTCCTCTTCCTCTTCCTCTTCTTCTTCTTCTTCTTCTTCTTCTTCTTCTTCTTCTTCTTCTTCTTCTTCCTGTTGTGTGACCACTAGGTTCTGGTGTTACCATGTTGGTTTTTCAGTTGTTTGATGAATTCTTCTACTGGCACCTTTCCATCTCTTTTTTCAACTGGGGATGATTGTCTTTATGCCTTGGTTCAGTCCTTGCAGTGGCTGTCTGAATGTTTGGGAATTTTCCTTGTTCTGCTCTGTACTGTCAATGTCTGTGTCTCAGGAAGCTTCTGAAGTCTCTCTAAGCCTGCTCTCTTGGGCGTCTCTCCTGTTTCAATCTCTTGGTCCTCTCTCTTGGTCCCTTCAGTGTTGTAGCGAGCTCTTGATACCTCAGTATCGTAGCAAGCTCATCACCCTTTCAGTATTGTAGCAAACTGTGTTTCAGAGTTCCACTGAGGTTTCAGGAGGATAGGTGAATTTGGAGGCAGGATGGGGCTGGTAGCTTGCAGGGTCCAGTGGATGTGGTTGGATGTTGGGGGACCCTATCTGCAGGAAACTCTCCTGCTGGCTGGCTAGAAAAGCCAAGGTAATTTGGAGAGGGGGCCAGGGTTTTGTCCCAATGTGGAGGTCCTAGAGAGTGGGGTGTCCTGCCATGTGGTCGTTCACGTATCTCTTAGTCCCCTCCGTATTGTAGCAAACTGTGTTTCAGAGTTCCACTGAGGTTGCCAGAGGATAGGTGAGTTTGGGGGCAGAGTGGGGCTAGTAGCTTGGACAGTACAGTGGATGGGGTTGGATGCTGGGTGAGCCTACCTGCAGGAAACTCTCCTGCTCACTGGCAGAAAAGTTGAGGGAATTGGGGAAGGGGTCGAGGGTTTTGTCCCAATGTGGAGCTCCTAGAGATTGGGGTGTCCTGCAGCATGGCTGTTCGTTTTGAAATTACCTGGTACAAGTGAGAAGCAAACCTGGAACACGCAACAAACCCGCTTAGGAGTTTATTAGAGGGTGTGTGTACAGGCCTGGGGAAAGTCAGTGTGCAGAGAAAGAGAGGATGATGGCACATCCAGCTTTTAAAAGCTGCCAAGCGATGCACACAGGAGTGGGCATAGCTACGTCATATGCAGATGGCGGGTCTCTCACACGCAAGGGTCATACATGGATGATGCAGGCATGCATGCCCACAAGGGCTTAGCTGAGTCATAAGTGGATGATGTAATCCATGCCATGTGTGTGTCATGTGGGGCCCTTTAACATCTCCGGGGGCCATTAGGCACTTCTGCCTGAGGGCTTGTCTGTACCTGCATGACCCCTAAAACCCGGAAGTATCAGCCTTATGTGGCTGAAATCATTACAGTGAGGCTCTGTGGTTAGCCTACCAGCTTCTCTGGCCAGTTTCTACCTGGTTTCTTAAGTTTCTGTGAAACAAATATGCTGTGAGAATAGCTTGGTGACTCTGAGGGTAGAGAATCACTGAAGGATATTTCTCAGTTATAGCTTCACTTACTTCTTCCCTGATCACATCTAGAAGGAAGTGTAACAAAACTGAAGAAACAGGAAAGAATAGATTTAGTGGGGGAAACCGACCACAGTGAAGGAGAAATAGTCTGTTGTGTTCAGGAAAAATACAAGGCAAGGGAGGAGTGCTATGGGAGAATCTTATGAGAGATTAGATGCTTCTAACTTATTTCTTTGGAGGAGACACAGACTCACTGAAGAATTTCAGCAGCTTTAGTGTAGGACCCAGTCATAACATGTTCACTAGAGGCCTGAGTCTCAGTAGTTTACCCTGGTTCCAAGAAAGACCACAAACTGAGACTACACAGGCACCACCCAGGAACAGACCATCCAAAGGAAATTCCTAACATTCCAAACATTACAGATAGGATCGCCTGCCAGCACACACCCATTGCTTTTCAACAGGACACTCCTAGACAAATGTCAGCCAATCATGGCTCCTGAACCTTAGAAATCCCTCACCCCCACCTTTGCTACTACAAAAACCCAACCCCAACTGAACTCTGGGCTCCCAAATCACTCCAATACCTTGGACACAAGGTGACCGAGTTTGCAAACTTGTGTAATAATAATGGCTCTTTGCTTTTACATTAAGGACTCAGTCTCCTAGTGGCTTTGGGGGAACTCCATGATCAGGGCATAACATTAACTCCCCGAAAACCCATTTCTCCGTACCAACTGTACAGGGAGAAAAGGAAAGGAGGCAGGAGGCCATAGAAGCACAATGTAGGGAAATGGATGTGGAGCTGAAGCCGTGGCAGTGTTGATGAGAGTGGTAAGAGTCATGCTCTGGACTTGGTGACTAAGTGCAGGGAGAGTCCAGCAGTGCAGAACCTTCTGCTGGGCTGTCCCAGGACCTTGTCTTCCTTTCTGCCTTCTTAATGGACTGCAACTGTGGACTTGGGCCAACACTCTTCTGAGATATTTTGCTGCCTAAAAGCTATCCTTATGTAGTCAAGAATTAGGACACTAAACTGGTGGTTTAGAACTTGACATCTATAAACATCTGTACCTTCTGTTCTAGGCTCAATTTTCATTTTGTCTTGAAGCCATGTGCACACTTTAAAGTGAAGTTCTTTTCTCAGTAATAACAGCTTCACCTAGCAACTTGTTACAAAGGTGGCATCTGACTTCTCCTCCAGACCTAAGAATCAGAATCTCTGGACAGCAAGTCTAGCAGTCTGTTTCAACAAGGCCTTTAGATGACTCTGATGGATATTAAAGAACTCAGTTGGTGGGAATGCTGGGGAGAGGGTCGCGGATGGTACTAAGTTAAGGTGTCCCCTGCACTGTGGGGTGCTCTACTTACTGTCCTAATCCTTGCCCATTGAAGGTCTTATCCTGGCTTCCTTTTCTGTTGCCGTGACAAAGCAGGGATCCAAACCAACTCAGCTGAGGAAAGGATTTTTCATCTCACAACTTTCAGAACATGATCCACCAGTGAGAAAATTCGGGGCAGGAACCATGGAGGAAAACAGCACACTGGCTTGCACAGCTTGCTTTATTTATACGGTGCAGGACTACTTTTCCACGTCAGCACCACACACAGTGGGCTGGGCCTACACACACACATAAATAAGCCATTAAGAAAATGTCTCCACTTCTTCCTTTCCAATTTGAACCCCCTTGATCTCCTTTTGTTGCCTTATTGCTATTGCCAAAACTTCAAGGACTATGTTGAAGAAATATGGAGAGAGTGGGCAGCCTTCTCTTATTCCTGATTTTAGTGGCTCCTTAGTGCCATGTCATCACATGGTGTCTATCATCATTTCTCTTCTATCAATCACCGTGTGTGAGGACAACAGCAAACTATCTGAGATGCTGGGATCCGGATGCTGGCAGCTTGCTCTTTATCTTTCCACCTGCAGAACTGAGAATATTCATCTTCTTCTCTCTTTCCTCTTGCTTGTTCTTTATTATTTTTTGGTAATTTTTTTTCATTTATGATGCTTTGTTGAAACACATAATCACATATAATCTCATAACGTTAATCTGTAGAAAACCTATGCCCATCAAACTCCCAGGCTCCCAGGGTGAATCTACCACAATTATTATGTTAATGTTCATCTCAGACTGCCCTCTGGCTTCACATCTCTATACACATACGTTAGTGAGCTCTCACTCCTCATCAGAGAAGTTCTGTAATGCAGGAATCTGTGTTTCCCAAGGAAACTCAAAACTCAGAGAAGTGTCTGTGGAGTTCACAGGTATAAATTCATATTGCGCCTTCCTCGGAGGCTCAGACCCTATCCTGGAAGAAGGATGAAAAGATTTTAGATCCAGATGTCATAGAATTGCAGTGAAGCTGTGTCTTCTGGACATGAGAGTCCTGCTACTCTTAGGACCTCTGTGATCAAGGCACTCAGTATTCTAGCATGGAAAGGAAAGGAGATCACTGGCCCCTCCCCTAATGAGAGATGTTGACAGTTGATGGCTTCTAAAGGAAGAAGAGTCAACTTTTCTTCTGGGGCTGATGCAAGGGTAAATTGAGCAACATTTGGTTGATAGCTCTACATACATGAGAGGATGGACATGGAATGATCTCACAGCTGATTTTGAAATCATGGAGGATGTGGAGAAATTAGGGGACTATGATAAATGTACACTATATTTATGTATGAAATCCTCAGAAACTAACTAAAATGGATTGTTTGAAAGTTTGTTGTTTAATGCTCCTAAAATCCTTATGAAACCTGATGATATGTTAAAGGAACAGGGTGAGAATTCACTGTTACTGAATTTTTCTCTATATGCAGGGGAAGTCGTTATCACCACAACTCGGCTCTATGTGTTTTGGACTAAAAGATTTTGGCTGCAGAGCCAGATGATGGGCGGGGATCAGGTCATTCACTGATGCTTTTCGCCTTTCTTTCTTCCAGGAAATGTGAACTCCTGTCTTGTGGATCTTACTGGGTCCTCATCTTTGGAAAAGAGGTTATTTTAATTACTGTTAATTTTTTTCGATTTCTGTACCTAAATTATGAATTAGCCTGGTACCTAAACCAGAAACAAATGGAAAGTCATAGAACTCAGTTGCTCAATCTTCTTAAGAAGATTCGTTATTACTTCTCTCTACCCCATGTGCCTTATGTCGCCTTATGTTGCATTTCAGCACTAATGTGTGGCTGTTGACACCTGTGTTGATTCAGGTGAGACATCCTAGGCACAGCAAGAGCAGAAAGTCAACGCCGCAGTGTTCTAATAAATATTCCCTGGTGATGAGATTTGCAAAATTACAAATAGAGGCCACCCTTCCTTGCAGAATCAGCATGCTTACAGAAAATGTGGGTAAAAAAGAGTATTCACAAGTGATTTTAAAGCTGTTTCCTATGTAAGGTAGAAATGTACAAGGTTAATTTTCATTGATATTATGTGGAATTTAGTTAACATTCTTGCTGTTTGTTGCTTCTCTTCTGTATACAACATAAGTAATGCTCACCCATGTAACCTTTAGGTAAATAGGCAGAGGAGCTTGGTTCAAGATGTATCAGTGCATTCCACTTGTTCTTGACCCTTCTTGTCATTGCAGAACCAATTACAAGCCTCCACATTGAAGTCAGGTGTGAAGGTTGCAAGCCTTGTGTGCTAATGTGGTGAGCCATGGATCTCATAACTTGAGAGACAGAGAAAGGAGGAGAGATGTGAGCTCAAGGCTGAGACTGCCCACGTAGCCTGGCCTGGTGTCAAATATCAAACCAGATATTAGATACTGACAAAATAGTTATTGAATGAAAAGGCTGATGTCCTGGATACAGAAAACCACTTTTTAAGAATTCTTCTATGGTTTGGACCCTCAGGTCATAGATGGCACTTAGCTTGTGACAGTATAAACAAGTTCTTTATGTACCGAGAGCTTCTCATTTCATTGCCTTTTTTCTGAGTGAATGACATATATCTCAGGAGTTTAATTCCTGACATGGACCAGCTATTCAATTCATTTGCATAAAAAGTGAAAATGACTTAATTTTTATGTAGATAATATAAAAGCATAGTAAGTGTTTTTGAGGTGTGGGAAAATAGTTGTATGTGTATCTAAATATATATATAGGAAATTGAAAGATATGTTTGTAAGATTACTCCTGGTGTTCTGGAGTCTGACTCACTCAGGTACCTGTATAAATCTGAAACAAAAGGCAGGCCAGGGTTCTGCTGCTCCAGTGAGAATCTGAGTGTGCTTGTGGTCCTCTCTTCTGTGCTGCTTTCCTTCTAGATGCAGGAGCATAGTAGGGATTGATTCCATATGAGAGATGGGCTTGGGAAATGTGTGGGTGGAGGAGGCAGTAGGATAGGCTAGAGCATTACGCCCTGGATGTCAGCTGTTTTAAGGCTCAAGATGGCTCTCCCTGTCTCCATAGAACCCACATGTCCAACATGGTGCTGCAATGTCTGTGTTGTGTCTCCGTGGAAGAAGAGAGATCTAGGTGTGGAGACAAGTGTGTTGACATACAATACCTACACAGGAAATCTGTTTCACTGTATAAATGCTACAGTATTCAGTATCTAACCCAGCCAAAGTTTCCCACTAAATAGTTCCTAAACTTTACATTTATAATTTGTAAAACAAAATAAAACCTCACCATTTCACTATCCTTCTTGTACTAACTTTCATCTTTTTCATTCTCTCTCCCTCAAATGTTTTTTTCTTATTGATACATATGTTTGGGAAAAATGCATGAGTGTATGACTCCAATGGGCTGTTTCTGTTCAGTGAAGTTTGCATATATAGTTGTCAGGTCTGAATACTAGGTCCTGAATGACCAGGTAGAGGACTCAGCTCTAGGGACAGTTAATTCTCCCTCCATCAGCAACCCTCAGTTGCCTACAGCTCTTTGTGCTGGGTTGAGTCCCCATGAGGTTTCTCCCACCCACAAAAGCCTGTCCAATGGGATTGTCCTTCTTTCTGTCTCATTTTGACTCCCACACTTTGTGGTTTCATGGGTGTGGATTCCATGTCATTTCTAGGAGTCACCCTCACTGTGTCTATTACAATCAATAAGGAACACACCAGCAAATCTGCAACCTGTGCTTCCAAAGATCATGAGGGGCAAGTCCAGAGATGCAACAGGTCAGCCTCTAGCATCTCTAATTGAAGGAGCAGAACACATTTTACTGTTCCTCTGACATGAACTGTACCTGACTGTGTTGGGGCACCATGCAGAGGATATCAGTGGGAGTCCACTCATCCTCACATGGAGTCTCACCGGAAGACAATTTCCAGATTCTGGTGTCCTGTGATCCACACTGAACCTTCAGTTACTCCTCTGCCTCCCAGACCTTCCTCAGCAACTAATCAGATTTTGCCACCAGATGTGGTTGGGAGCTGCTCAGCCAAATTAGGAATTTTATCCCAGTGATTTTACAGCTAGGTGAGGAATCTTGCCTACTTGACCCCTTTCACTCAATTTTTTTTAAGTGACCCCTGCAAATGGAAAAGTTAAAAACCATGGATAGAAGTTCATCTATCTTCAGGAAAAGGAAAGGGCCAAACAGACATTTCAAGGACAACCATGATAGCATATCAACATTATATTTATTCAAAACTATATACAAAACATTTGGAAAGACACTTGTAGTAAGATTGATGACTGCAAGGCTTTAGACCTATGAGAGATCTATAGTCATCAGGTTATAATCCTGTCGTCTTCTAGGTAGGCTCCTGTGAACAAACTTAGGAATGCATGTCTAGTCTTTGAGCATGCCACCAAACATGCCTCCAGAGAAGGAACTTCAGCTTTTTCCATTATGCATTTTTATTAAAGCAATGTCCTGGGTCATGACATTCAAAATCCAATGGCTTTCTTGATGTTTCTAATCAGGTCAGGCTGAGGGCCAAAGTCAGCAATGAGAAGATGGGGAACCTGATGTATCAGGAAATGAATATTTAGACCACAGTCTGGAAGTCTGTGAGGCTGATGTCATATACCTCAAAATCAACTCTGGTCATTCCATTTTTCTCTGAGGCTGTGGTGTTGGCCAACACAAACACAATCAAATGTCCTGGAGCTATTGGAGATGGGGGGTGGCATATAATGGCTCATGGGTGCTGCCCGCACACTCATCTTGCCAAATCTGCCCAGATTGTTTGGGGGGGGGGGGGGGGGGAAGGCATATAATGGCTCATGGGTGCTGCCCGCACACTCATCTTGCCAAATCTGCCCAGATTGTTTCCCTGGTGTCTCCCACACGTAATGAAGAAGGCCATGTTTTATGGTCCTGGGTCCTTTCTGGTGAGCATATCTCCTGCATTTGATGGAGAGAATTCAAATTTGACACAGGTTTATTGGTGGAAAGTGAGCTATCAATTTGGGGTCTTCAATCCACTCAGGAAGCCTTTTTTCTTCATTTATTGTGTTTGGTGAACAGAGCCTAGCCTCAGGTAAAAACCAGTTAAAGTAAGTATAGGGCCATGTGCCATATAATCATTCTTGATATTAAGTTATGACCATGTTTTTTATCATTAAGGAAAGTGGGTCCTTGTCACATTCAAGGTCATAGTTTGTGGTCCTGGCTCCCTTACTGTCAGCAAAGTACTTGGTCTTGTAAAGAGAGGCTGCGGCCCACACACCCTAAAATTTAATATTGACCTGATTTACTGGTACTCAGGATGCTGGCAGGACCCCATCATGTCAGTTTATTGCCTTTGTCCTTTTCTCATTCCTCAGACAACCAACTCATGGTGTTATAGTGTGTAAACATTACTGTAGTACTACAGGTCCTAGGTCAGACCCAATGTCAAACTGTTGTTCTTGACCTGGACACAGAGGATTTCCTGGGTGCAGCCAGCACACCCCTCATTCCAAGATGTGTTCCTGTCATTTACATTCATGTATGGTCCAGATTATTTCAAAGCCATGAGGTTGCTTTGACACATTTGTGAGAACTTTGCCTGTGTTGGTACTATCACAAATATAACCAACTAACCAGAATAAAACCAAAAGGAGCTATAAGATGAACTTTTACTGGATCAGAGTTCATGACTTATGACCTGATGTCCCTCACTGGTGAAGAGTCCACTTGTCTTGGTGAACATGGCATGACCTGGGTCACAGATGAGGCTATGGTGTGTCCAACAAAATAAACTGAAATGAAGATAATGCTTGGCTTCAGTCCTGGCCATGGTTATAGGGTGTTCATTTCCTTTGATCACTGAGATGAGGTTTGGTCCCTTTAAGGCCTGGCCTCTGCATTGTAAAGTTTTGGCCCTCGTAAGCAACTCTTCATCATAGGGCCCAGGCCTCTTCAGGGTAAGATTTAGGCACAGGCCCACATCTTTTCTTCATTAGGCCTAGGCCAATTTAGCATAAGGGCTAGGCCAAGGTCCACATCATTTCTTCATTGGGCCCAGGCCTCTTGGATATAATGGTTAGGCCCACGCCCACATCTTTTCTTCATTAGGCCCAGACCCACATCTTTTCTTCAATGGACCCAGGCCTCTTCAGGGTAAGGGTTAGGCCCAGGCCCACTTGTTTCTTCATTGGGCCCAGGCCTCTTCAGGGTAAGGGTTTGGCCCAGGCCCAAATATTTTCTTCATTGGGTACAGGCCTATTCAGAGTAAGGGTTAGGCCCAGGCCCACATCTTTTCTTCATTGGGCCCAGGACAATTTAGCATAAGGGTTAGACCCAGGCCCACATTTTCTCTTCATTGGGCCAAGGCCTCTTTATTGTAAGGGTAAGGCCCAGGGCCACATCATTTTCATTACGCCCAGGCCAAATCTGGGAAATCTTCAGGCCCAGGCCCACATCTTCCTTCATTGTGCCAAGGCCTCAGCAGGGTAAGAGTTAGGCCCAGGCCCATATCTTTTCTTCATTGGGCCCAGGCCTCTTCAGGGTACGGGTTAGTCCCAGGCCCACATCCTCTCTTCATTGGGCCCAGGGCACTTCAGCGTAAAAGTTAGACCCAAGCCCACATCTTTTCTTCATTTGGCCAAGCCACTTCATGGGGTTTGACCCAGGAAAACATCTTTTTTGCATTGGGCCCAGGCCAATTTAGCGAGAGGGTTAGGCCAAGGCCCACATCTTTCTTCATGAGGACCAGGCCAATTCAGGGTAAGGGTTAGGACAAGGCCCACATCTTTTCTTCACTGGGCCCAGGCCTACTCAGGGTAAGGGTTAGGAACAGGCCCACATCTTCTCTTGATTGGTCCTAGAACACTTCATATAAGGGTTAGTCCCAAGCCCACATCATTTCTTCATTGGGCCCAAACCAATTCATGGTGTTTGACCCAAGAAAACATCTTTTTTGCATTGGGCCCAGGCCAATTTAGCGTGAGGGTTAGGCCAAGGCCCACATCTTCTCTTCATTAGGCCCAGGCCACTTCAGCGTAAATGTTAGGCCCAGGCCCACATCTTTTCTTCATTGAGCCCAGGCCTCTTCAGGGTAAAGGACTGGCCCAGGCCCACATCTTTTCTTCATTGGGCCCAGGCCTCTTCAGGGTAAATGTTAGGCCTAGGCCCACATCTTTCTTCATTGGGCCCAGGCCCCTTCAGGGTAAGGGTCAGGCCCAGGCTCACAACTTTCTTCATTGGTCCCAGGCCTTTTCAGGGTAAGGATTTGGCCCAGGCCCAAACCTTTTCTTCATTGTGCCCAGGCCTCTTCAGGGTAAGCATTAGGCCCAGACCCACATCTTTTCTTCATGTGGCCCAGGCCTCCTCAAGGTAATGGTTTGGCCCAGGCCCACATCTTTTCTTCATTTGGAAAAGGCCTCTTCAGGGTAAGGGTTGGGCCCAGGCCACACCTATTCTTCACTGGACCCAGGCCTCTTTACAGTCAGGTTCAGGCCCAGGCCCACACCTTTAATCATTGGACCCAGGCCTCTTCAGCGTACATGTTAGGCCCAGGCCCACATCTTTTCTTCATTGGGACCAGGCCACTTCAGTGTAAGGGTTAGGCCCAGGCCCACATCATTTTCATTATGCCAAGGCCAATTCCGGGTAACTTTCAGACCCAGGCCCACATCTTCCTTCATTGTGCCCAGGCCTCTTGAGGGTAAGGGTTAGGCCCAGGCCCACATCTTCTCTTCATTGGGCCCAAGCCACTTGAGCGTAAGGGTTAGGCCCAAGCCCACATCTTTTCTTCATTGGGCCCAGACCACTTCATGGTGTTTGACCCAGGGAAACATCTTTTTTACATTGGGCCCAGGCCAATTTAGCATGATGGTTAGGCCCAGACCCACATCTTTTCTTCATGTGGCCCAGGCCTCCTCAAGGTAATGGTTTGGCCCAGGCCCACATCTTTTCTTCATTTGGAATAGGCCTCTTCAGGGTAAGGGTTGGGCCCAGGCCACACCTATTCTTCACTGGACCCAGGCCTCTTCAGTGTCAGGTTCAGGCCCAGGCCCACACATTTCTTCGTTGGGCCCAGGCCTATTCAGGGTAAGGGTTAGGCCCAGGCCCCCATCTTCTCTTCTTTGGGCCAAGGCCTATTCAGGGTAAGGGTTAGGCCCAGGCCCCCATCTTCTCTTCTTTGGGCCAGGGCCACTTCAGCATAAATGTTGGGCCCAGGCCTACATCTTTCTTCATTGAGACCAGGCCACTTCAGGGTAAGGGTTAGGCCCAGGTCCACATCATTTTCAT